GGGGACCTTTGACTTGTGTGGTCTGCACCCATTCAATTAATGAAGGCTCACGCGGCCTCCAGGGCTGAGCAGGGAGGAGCTGGTGTCGCGGCCTCTGCAGAGCAACCAGCTCCCCCGCAGCCAGCTCGGGCTGAGCCGCCACCTGAGCCCTCGTCCAGTGTCCCCCTCTCTGGGTGCCCCGAATCCCACCAAGGGAAAGGCAGTACAAACTCAAGGTGGGAGCCCGGCCACACGCTCCCCGCCTGGCCAGATTGGCGGTCTGCATGGTGGTCCCTGCATAGTGGCCATCGGTGTCCCGCAGGTCCCCATCCCTGAGTCCCCAAGCACTCCGTTGGAAGGGCTCCAGACCCTCTCTCTAAACTCAAATCCCTGCTCCCAGGGACGCCCGAGACACGGCCACTCAGAGACCTTCTCTTTCCATCCCCAGCCAGGTCACAGAATTCTGGAGAAAGAGTGGCTATTGTCCCTGTGTCCCCAGCACGGGCTGGACGGCCCTTCCTGCTGAGCCCTCTAGAGGCCGGGGAAATCGGGTGGCCTGGGCTCAGATCCCAGCGCAGCCCAGACCCGGGCTCAGCCTCGGCGCCCCCATCTCTGAAATGTGGGTGACCACGGTTCCCGCCTCAGGATGGCTGTGGACAGCCAGGGAGGTCCCAGACAGGGACAGGCGCACAGGACACCAGACACTGAGCTGTGCCATCGCCGTCTGTGCCCCAGGCAGAACCTCTTCCCTTCCCACCTAACAAGGGAACCAGCAGCGGAGTAGCTTCTGTTGGCTGTTGTTGGCTGTCACTGGGCCTAACAGGGGGCTGCGTCCACAAACCTGATGTAAACTGGAACGACCTTGAGGTTTGGGGTGGTTCCCCCAGCCCTGGAGGGCAAAGCCGGGAAGGGCGTCCACCACTGAGCCACACTCCTGGCCCTTTTTCTTTCTTTCTTTTTTGAGACAGGGCCTCACTAAGTTGCCCAGGCTGACCTCAAACTTGCCATCCTCCTGCCTCAGCCTCCCAAGTAGCTGCGATTACAGGCCTGCACTACCCAGCCTGGGAAAATATCCTAAATTGCAAATTCATAGAATCGGCCACCCTACCCAACACCCGCCCCAGCCTCGCCCACCTTGAGCGTGCTCAGAACCCTGCCTTAGCCTACGGTGGGTGGCCAAGCGTCTAACACAGAGCCTGGTCCACACTGCGGCTGGACCGCGCTAGCGCTTCATTGAATACTATGCTGAACGGGAAGAGCAGAGGGTCATCGGCGTCACCCTTCACGTAAAGGTAAACTGGAACCATTTGAGTCAGGGACCTTCTGTGTTTGCCCCCACAGCTTCAAATTCCCCCCCCCCCAGTGAGGTCATGGGATTCCTTGACTCCCTCAGTCCTTCCTTAACCTGACCACTCATGCAGCACGTCACTAGATTGACAACAGATTTCTCTCTTTCAGAGTTCTACTTTTCTTTTCCTCCTCCTCCTTCCTCCTCCTCCCTCCTACTCCTCCTACTCCTTCTCCTCCTCCTCCTCCTCCCTCCTCCTCCTCCTCCTCCC